GCAAATGGCCGAGTGATTAGCAAATGGCGCCGCAAGCTACAGCCAAAATATCGGCGCTGGTTCGAACGGCAAGCTCGTCTATGGTTCTGGTGGTAGAACAAGTCTTCTCGGATGAAGACTATAAACCGTAGGCCCTGTGTATACAATGGCTCGAACCCAGTACATCTCTTCGAGACGAATAGGAGGATACCCCAATGTACTGGAACAGACAGCCCCAGTGGTGGACGGCAAACATGAAGCGACCATTAGGGGCAAAGAAAGTATTTGATCGAATTCATAGTCCACATATCAAGCGCCCTGACCATCTTATATTAGATGGATATGTGCACTATATAAAACTATTTTATCATAATAATAGTAATAATAATAATAATATTTATTATTATTATTATTATTATTATTATTATTAATAATAATAATAATTATTATTATTATTATAGCCGGATTTATATTTGACCGACAGCTGTTTTATCTTCATTTTTATTGAAAATTTATTAAACCATTTATAAACAAACCTAGAAAATAAATAGATCCAAGTTACTGTTAATAAAATGGTCGAGAGACAACAGAAACTATTATGAGTCCGTTACTGTCGCCCCTCTTCAAAGACAGTAAATACAACTTTAAAAATGAAGTGAATAGAAAATAACACACTTCTTTGTATGAATAAATAACAATATTTCTTTTGTGATTATTTACAAATGTAGGCCTATTATTTAGTTGACTCTAGCTCCGAGTCTAATTAGTTTTATTATTATAATGATAATTAATACAAATATTATTATTATATATGTTGAGCTTCCATGAGTTATAGTTTAGTTTAGTTTCAATTCTTGGGTTTTCAATATGTCAGCTTTGTTTTGTAGTGTTTTAATGTGTTTGCCGATGTTAAACTTTGGAATTCAGGAAAGAAATTACATACGGTAACTTTAGACATGTTTAGACCATATCACACTTGTTGTAGGCAACCCTTGTTAGATAGACACTTCCCCCATTAAGTTTGTTTAAACTGTTTTTCCACTTTTCGATTCCTGTGAGTCGGTTCTTATCCTAAGCTCTAATTGGTTGCGCATTTTTTTCGCTTCGCAAGAAGTAGGAACAGTTCGAACTACTAATTTCGCTGAAGCAAAAAACTTTGATAGAAATGTAAATGCGCATGCGCAAGAACCGAAGTATTTGATTCGAGCAAATAAATTCGCGTAGTAGAAAACAGACTTTAAAAGGCTGTTTTTACGAATGGACGACCTTCGAAGCACGATCTCCTGTTGATCAAACCAAGAACCGTTTGGAGAGGAACTTAAGCCATACAGTAATACAATCTTGCACTTTCCCAATAGGACAATGTTTTCAAAGTAGTGATCAATACGAAAAAAAGCAAATTATCATACTGTAAAATGTAACTTTCCACTAATGTAAAATATACTATTACGCAAAGCCCCTCCTTTCAGACACCCCTATTTAGAGACTTTTTCTAAAATATCCTTGGGAAATATATCTTTTTAAACAACGGCACATCCCTATTAAGGGGACTGAGACAATTTCCGAGTGTCCAATATGGTCGAATCAATACATTTTCAACTCATTAGGTAGACACTTTTTTAAAATTGTAATACTAATCTGCATCGTATTACTACGTCTACAATAAACTCAAAACTACAATATTTAATTCCAATTTATATTGTGACAACTTGACATGCATTTAACATTCAACCAGATTTTTTTGTTCTTGATCCTTAAAATTGCTATCGGTAGGCCTATGTAGTCTCACTGTATGCGTTACTTCGTACCAACTAATCTTTTCAATATTTAACCTTATTTATGGGATTAGTGGTTTTATTTATTTTTTCTGTGTACTTCTTCATATAGGATTAAAATTTATAGCGTAACATTTACCCTTATGGCTTAGTCATCACTCTATGCTGCTGTATCTCTGACAGCACTTGAACCAAGAAACAATACAAATTGTATTGGTATAATTTCATTCATGTTTATGTCATATTACAATTGTTCTGTATTAGCATTGCTGTCACAAATAAGATTAACCGTGTTAACAACCTTTAAACGGGTCACGTCTGGAATTTCGCGGAGGCATGCCTCCGGACCCCCTAGTGTAGCGTTGTCTCGATCAGCCCATATTCACCCTCTTTCGGCCCCCTGTTGGACAAATCTGGATCCCCTTTTTACGTTTTACGTAACCATTTATTATACATCAATATTAACCCCCTAAAAAATACAGATCGGTTTCCCACAATTCAATACCTTAACTATAATCAACCCCGAAGCAGCAAATCATAAACTAAAGCACCTAACAATAAGTTCACCAAGATCAAAATACAAATATTAAACCATCCCCCGCCAAAAATACCTTATCTACAATTACACGTGTGGAGTTCATTTATTCATTCATTTATTCATTCATTTCTTTATTTCGTAAATAATAGCCTCTGGCCTTTACAAATCACATGTTTATACCATATTCGGACATACAAAATATTCTTTTTTTAAATGCTTTCTTTAAGTAAATAGATAGACGACGTATTTTATGAAAATTATAATTATCACTGAGTGAAAATAAGTTTAAGTCGAGAATGTATTGCTTTTTGAGGAAAAAAAGGACACACTAACAGGAAATGGGTTTCGTCTTCTATAACACAATTATCGCAAAATAAACATATATTTTCTCTAGTAATATTTATATGACGATCTCTTTCTATTATTAAATTATGGTTTGACAAAAGTAATCGTATTGTTCTTAGTTTAAAATTTAAATGAAAAATGTATTTGTTAAGGGAATTTGGTATGTTTAGTGAGCTATAAAATGTTAATCTTATGTTATCTTTTATCATTTCATTTCCTGTGTGCAGTGCAATGTCCCGAACTCTCTCTGTAAAAAATTGCTAAGAAATTCTTATTTACAGGCGAGTCCCACATGTACCCAAATCCCAACATGTTTAAAATCGATTTTATTCCAAATGCCCAACAGTCGGTTCCGTTTTCAGCCCACAATTGCCTTTGATAACATATTTTTGGTAACTTAGAATGTTCCATCATTATTAATTTTTATCCAATAACTTATCATTTTCATAACGTGATAAAATTTAATAGGGAACCTTCCCAATTTACTTCTTACTCCCTCATTTGGAGCGGACCGCTGGACATTTAGTACAAATTTACAATGTCTTAATCGCAATTCAATCATTAAATAAATGCATCGATACAATTTCTACTTGTGGTTGATTCAATGGCAAAACTTTCGCTTCCACAAGACGTTTCCAGCTCAGCTCATGTGCCAGGTCTGTTCAGTGAAGTTAACGGTCCATCAGAATACAGTGTCCCATCTTCAATCAGACAGTATTTAGCATTTAGTTCCCAAATACTAACTATCTCTGCTATTCCTCATTTTTCTTGTTTCTTCTTGTGCATAAGCAGACAATATTTAACATTTAGTTCCAAAATTCAATTTGTACATTATGGGTTAATAATTAAAAGTCCATTGTACATTAGATGTCGTAAGTCGTTAGCTAACTAGATTTCCAAGGATTTTATTGGGCGTATCAGTACTGTATATAGTGTTACGTTAAGAATCAAGGTTTTTCTAATATAACCATATATTTCTTGTATTTGAATACATCAATTATACTAACTATCAATAATCAGGTAAAACAAACTATAAATCGATATAAGCAACTGCAAATGAACATAATAAGCACAGAATAAGCCTATAATGTTAATTGTTTGTGTACTTTCAACTTCCAGTAATTACTGGCTCCTAAAAAATATATAAACTCGACCTTCTTATCCCAAACTATCTTATTATTTCCAGTTACCTAGTGCTTTCGCCAGTTTAAGATGAGACAATTTAAAAAACTGGAACTAACGCTTTATACTTTTTTTCCCCTGTGCTATCACACTGACGATTCTTTCTCATTGAGTCTCTTCTCAGATGTACCACTCCCTGAATTTCAAATCCGTATCTACGATCGTACGCAAATCAATCTTTATTTTTCGTACAAATTATAGTCCATATGCATCAACCCCAAAAAGGTTTCCATATTCCCATTGCATGGAAAGTGCACCCCTAAAGTTCACAAGATCATTTCCATATTTTCATGACAACAATAGCATAATATAGGATTCCGCTCTCTTGTGACAATTGTAAATTATTAATACAACTAAGTTTACTTATAAAGTGTAACTTTTAGGTTAATTAATATAACATTACAAAAAAGCAATTTCACCATTGTATTATTACCGTACTTGCGCGAATAAGCGCCCGGGTGCTTACAATATTTTTCGCACTTTCTGAGGGGCGGTTATTCAAATGGTACGCTTATTTTAAACAGAGTGGAAATTGAGGGGGCGCTTATGGAAATAGATGAAAATGCAGGAGTTCTTATGGAAACTTATTAAATTCATGCAAGAGGAACTTTTTGTTTTATAATAGTTATAAATAAGAATGGAAAAACGTATTGTTATTATTGATATTTGACCACAATAACCTCATATTATCGTTTTAATACTCTAATGAAATGCGAGGCCAACTTCGTAATAATTGCCTCCGCAATTTGTAATACTAGTAGCGTTTTGTAATAAAAGTCGCACTTTGTAATAACCTGTTGCAATTTCTAATAAACGTTGTCACACTCGTTAACTAGAAATTCTCCTTTTACTTATCTGAAATTTTTCTTGATTATTATTTTTCCCATCGAAAACTTAAATCGATAATTGTTATATTTAACTGTGTTTTCAAATAAAGAAATATAAATTTTGAGATGCTTTATTATAAGAACATTTATTTCAAATTACAATATTCATCATAACAGTACTGAAAATGTGTATCAAAATCCACCAGTATTATGCCTTTAGGCCTAAATACCATTATTTATTTAAACTTTAGTTGTAAAAATAAGTTAGAAACACTTGACTGCAATATTATTGGTGTAGATGTTCAAAGAAACTTATTTAAGCTACAGAAGTGCACAGTTTCCATTAAATGCCTCGTTCGATTTAATATGTTATCTGAAAGCTATTAACTTCAACATAATTATTTTGTTTTCTTTTTCTTCTTTTCGTTTATTTACAACTTTAAACATCCACAAAGAACTCTCGTAGGTCTATTTTCTTTCGTCAAAATTTTGCCAGAGATGTTTATGAACATGTTTTATTTCATTCTAAACAGGTGGTAATTGCAGTGACTTCGAATATGACTGGTGTGGCTGGACTAATTACACTAGTTCTCATTATTGGACGCGTTCCTCTGAGAGTACCGGTAGTGGTCAAGGTCAGTTTCAGGTTAAACTTACTACACAGTCGCTTTCATCGATTATTTTATTTGTATTTTTATTTAAAGCAAATGCTCTATAGGCCTATGCACTTTGTATCAATGTATTCAAGAACGAAATATATTTTAAAATGGATAAAATCATAGATAAACGAAATAAAAAAGCAGATGAAGAATGTATACGAAACATACTAACAGGGCCTGGTGAAAGTTTAGTAATAATAATAAAGATATTTATGATAATGAAAATAATGGTAATGATATTATTGTTAATAATATTACGATAATGATAATAATTATAGTAATAATATTTATAATGAAAATAATAATAATAGGCCAATAATAAAATTATTATCATTAATATTGTTATTAGTATTAATAATATCGATAATAAAACTAATATCAATATTCATAATAATAATCATAATAATAATAATAATACATTTATAATTGATATTATTAATATTAAGAGCACTAATAATAATTTTAAATATAGTAATAATATAATAATATAAGTTATAATAATAATATTATTTAAAAAAAATGAATACTGAAAATCGAATGATAAATAGTAAATTTTTGATAATTTATTCATTATTTAAAATAGTAAAAAAAAAACATGTGCATTACCGTAAATGCTAGAATAAGCGCCGCGGCGCTTATACATTTGTTGGCGGATTCAGTGCGGCGTTTATTCAAGAGCGGCGCTTATAAAAATATATTGGCCTGACGCTATCCCATGCCCGTTCCCATGTTACCTATTTCACGTATTCCTGTACGTACGTAGTTCAGCAAGCCCATCACAGGTCCTATTATCGTAAACAAATAATACTAGGCCTATACTACTATATCTGTTTTTCTCATTGCAATAATGAGAAGTGATGTTAAAATTACAAAAAAAAAACAATAAAAATGTAAAACAAAACACATGAAAAAGAAAAATGAAATCATATTTAAGAAAATTATAAAGTAAAAAAATAAATATTTAAAAAAAAATTAAACTTTTTAAATTAAAATAAAATAAAATTAAAAAAAAAAAAAAAAAAAAAAATAAAAAAAAAAAAAACAGAAAGAAAAAGAAAAAAAAACCAAAGTGACTCACCAATATATCTCCTCAAATAAATCTACTAATACATCTAGGCCTAGTTTTAGGTTTAGTGCCGCATAGCATATTATCCCGCTAGACCTTGTCTTCTTATTAATTTTACCTTATTGCGCCCCGTTCCTAGGCCTTGTTATTTTCCCGTTGTGTTTACAATATAACCTAATCTTCAGTTTACAAATGCCTATAGGCCAAGTACACATTTATTTAATTATTTTAGGGGATTAAACATTATAATATTCACGAATAACAGCCGTGCGAAGGCATACAGGTCTAGGCTAGGACTATGTATTGCAGCTGTCTCTTATACACATCTAGATGTGTATAAGAGACAGGTGTTATCAGGTATTCTTCATTCGTGATGACAGCAGGCAATGGAAGTATGTCAGTTTACAATTAATTAACCGTTACAATTACGAGCTGAAGTTACGAGGATATACTTTTAACGGAACGATAGCAGTCGATAACATTTGTATCATTGAAGGGCTATGTGTTGAAAAAAATGGTAATAAAATTGTGTAATTTTAATTTTTAGTAATTGTAAATAATTTTTAATGTGCAAATATTATTTGTAATTATATTATATGATACAAACAGTTTTAGATTTATGCTACCCTCTTTTTGTTTTGTTTTGTTCTTATTCCTGATATTCATGCTTCTTTATAAATGTTCTATGTGTGAAACATCGAATAAAGTAAATCAATCAATCAAGATGCTTAAGAAGAGGGTGTATAAAAAACTAGCATTTTAGAGTGTGAAATCAATTGTCACAAATCGGAATTAAACATCCAACGAAAACCCCAGTGACCCAGTGACACATAGGTATCTGCAAGGCTCCAATCACCTCCCCTCTAACCTGAAACTCCAGCACACCTCCACCTACATCATCTAAACTACTTGCTAATAATTTCGAAATGTATTATAGGATATAAAAAAGCTCATATTAAAAATATAATACATAGTTACAAAAAGTTCTGTAAGGAAAAAAGCCCACACAAAAATGATGCAAACGTATGTCTAAATCATCAAAATCCGTTAATAATTATTATATAAATTTATCTCCTTTACTATCTTTATTATTTTTTTCTTTCTTTCTTTTGTCTCTTCTCAACATTTGGTTATAAACAGTGGCGTATCTATGGGGTGTGACGGGAGCACGCCTTTCCAAAATTTACTGCACCCTCACAACATCCCTCCCAGTAGCCCACCAAAAAATCAAGCTAAAGTAGTTAAAAATTAAATAAAATCACCGTATTTCGCGAATTAGTGCCCCTCAACTGATCATCGAACCCCCTTCCCCCCAATTCACCTTCGCACCCTCCCCCTCCCCATCAACACCAACATTTCAAGACTTCCAGACAAGCCACTGGTTATAAAGCGCATAGATACATTGCATGTATTATGCGGCATATAAATGGAAGACCATTACCATCACCATTATATAGTCGCAAAGACCAATATTAAAATAGAATTTGTTTTGTAGTTAATAATTTATATATTTGGTAAAATGATGTCAACTCGCTTAAGCCTATTTAAATATGTTTAAATTACATGTAATTAACATCCTAATATTACATTTATTTTCGAGACTTCTCTCTCCAAGATTCATTTTTTTTTTCAATTTACTCTTTGGAATTTTTACTAACAACGCTATCATAGTTTCCTTATTTTACTAGTCGTAGGCCCGACTGATAACCATGCATTTAATAAGTTTCACCCATTAAGCCCTTAAAGATATACTGTCTTTAGTCAGTGTCTAAGTATCAAACGAAGTTTCTATTCTCTGGGTGATTACGACTAAGAAATTGGCGTAATTATTCGCATTTTCTCAATAATGATTATACTCTTCAATTAATTTAACCTGCTGTTTCAATCCTTTCTTATTATAAACCCAAAATTAATGATAACCGTATCCCGTCGTCCTCGACTACTGTCCAACTTTTACCCGCCAACGTAAGTCTGACCATAGACAAGATAACTAATTTCGCCATCTTTTTTTCCGTAGATTGTCATTTCCCTTAACATTGTAATAACGACTTGATATTTATTTTGATCAATAGTAACTTTTCATCTTTTTTAAATAGACGTGAAGAAGAATTGAAATGGATACATAGAAATAATTACCGACCTTTTTGCTAATTGTTCCTCAAGTTAACACCAAATCCAGCGGTCGCATATCATATCTATTAGCTGCCACTCTTTGGAACTCGTTTCCCAAACATATTGTTCCGAATCACCTCCAGGTGTTATTTTCAAAACCGAGCATAAATCAACATTTTTTAACATCTAAACATGCACAGCACCTTTGAGTTTTGCTCCGGCTTTGTGATATTGGCGCTTTATAAATACATTACTATTGCCATCAACAACATCATATCATCCTCATCATATCCTCATTCTCAGCATCATCCTCATCGTCTTCCTCATCATGGTCGTCAGCATCGATCTTGTCACCATCATTATCATCATTAATAATAATAATAATAATAATAATCATAATATTTTTATTACTATTATAAATATTATTATTGTTTTCCTAACACTGAAGAGAAAGAAATTTTGAGTTATATACTACCAAAACACTTCCGATACGAAAATTGAAACTGTTTGCATAAAAAATAATGATGGGGAGGAGGATTGTGAGAATGATGATGATGATACCGAATATAATAATAATCAATTTTAATTCCCTTATTCTCTGCTGTAAAAACAACTATAGGCCCATTGACATGCCCATCTGACGTGACTGTGGAGACCGACACTGGAGCGGCCACGGCTTCAGTTAACTATGCTAGCGCAATTCATACCAACTGTGGTAACGATTCAGTGATCTCTCCCGAACCTACCCATATCTTTCCAGCTCATCTTGAGATTGGAGTTAAACAATTCAACTTTACAGCTACAGATTCGTCGAGAAACAATTATACTTGTACGTTTACAATAACGGTTGAAGGTTAGTAATTGCGTATCATTAAAAACAAATGTGTTATATATATATATATAATTACACAACGAGTCAAATAGTACCAGATATGTGCCACCAAAATTAATTTGGTAAGATTATGCCAGACAGTAAATAGCTAACAAACTATTTACATGTCACGTGTCAAAGAACTTGGTGGGAGAAGAAAAAAGCGATATGATAATATTAATACGTTAGTCTTACAAAACCTATAACGGCCTCGACAATTGCTGCTATATTAATATATTATGTCACATTATTAAGATTTTCTTTTGCAATGTTATTATTAATTATTATTGTTATTCTATGATCTATATGGACATTATCTAAATAACACTAAATTAGCTAATATTTTTGTTTAAGTTTTTATGACAATCTGTTGCTTTTAATGTCTGAAATATATTAAATCAGGAAAAAAAATACTAAGTAACACATATGTTGCTACGCTAAAATAAATGCAAAAGTATGTTATAAAGTTGTATATTTATTTGATCGACCGACTGACTGTACTTCTTAAAAGAAAATACGTTAGTCGAGGGATCGTGTATTAATTTAAAGTTTAATACATTTTACTTTTGCTACAGATACCGAAAAACCTAAATTAAGTTGTCCGAAGGACGAGACTGTGGATACTGATGACGGTAAAGCCACGGCGTCAGTTGACTATTCAAGTAAAGTGAATGCAAGTGACAACTCCGGGGATATCCTTACAATCTCTCCTGATCCATGTGCAACATTTCCTACTGATCTTGGAATTGGAGAACTCAAATACAATTATACAGTTGCGGATTCATCAGGGAATACTGATAATTGCTCGTTTACAATAACAGTCCAAGGTTAGTATATAAACTTGGAAAAAAAAATCAATATTATTATCATTAATATAATAGTATTTATACGTTAGTGTTATATAGTGAATCATACAAACAATTCCTCTGTGTGCTTTACAATATTTTTTAAGCAATTTAATAAAACAAAAATTGATCCGCTACGCCAAAAGCTCAGATAAATATGGTTAAAAGATGTCATATTTAATATGCTTTTTATTAATTTGCTATTCATTATCAGTATTCTAAAATACTATATTATAGCTATGGTTTTTGGTAAGCTTTGATGACAATCTCTTGCTTTCATTTTTGGCCATTTTGGCCACTCTCGTATTAGTCTTATTTTGCTTTTCATTTTGTACTTACATTTTCGTACCTTAATAAATAAATACGAAATACTTATACGAATAAAAATATAATCAATTAGACGGAAAGCAAAATAAGACTAATTATAAAAGATATCACATTTAACAACATGTTTAAAATCATTTGAAAATCATTTGAACGACCGACAGAACTTAAATAAAATGCAAATATTTCAGTAAAACGATTGTTTATTAATTAATAACTAAAACGTATTTAACTTGCTTCAGACATCGAGAAGCCTACATTAAAATGTCCACCGAACAAGTCTGTAGATACTGACGACGGTAAGGCCACGGCGTCAGTTGACTATTCAAGAACAATAAATGCAAGTGACAACTCCGGGGATATCCCTACAATCTCACCATTACTCAATGAAACATTTCCTGTTGATATTGGAATTGGAGCACACGTCATGTTCACGTTTACGGCTAATGACTCTTCAGGGAATACTGATACTTGTACCTTTACTATAAATGTCAAAGGTTAGGGATTATGCACATTTTAAAATTAACATATATTTAATATATAATAATTTTACCTTAGTACTATACAGTGAATCATGCCAATAAGTTTTATATAGACTTCAAAATAAGTTTTCCATTCATTTAATAAACCACCAATAGATCTGCTATGCAAAATACTTTGACAAATGTTGTTAAACTACTGTATATGGCATATTAATATGATTTTTAATAATTTAATAAATTTATTATCAGTATTCTATGATACAGCTATTGTTTTGTTAAGTTTTCATGACAATCTGTTGCTTTTATAGTCTGCCATTATGGCCACTGTCATATTTTACTTTTTTGTTTTTCATTTTGTACTATTTATGCTTACCTTAATAAATATTATTATACGGAATACGAATACAAATAGAAAACCCTGAAGAAAAGCAAAATAAGACTATTTATAACAGATGTGAAATTTAACAACATATATTTAAAAAAATTTGATCGACAGACTAAACTAGAATAAAAAAGCAAATATTTTAGTAAAAGATCGGTTATTAATTATTAATTAAAATATATTTAACTTTGCTGCAGACACCGAAAAGCCTACATTAAAATGTCCACCGAACGAGACTGTAGATACTGATGAGGGCAGTGCCACGGCTTCAGTTGACTATTCAAGTAAAATAAATGCAAGTGACAACTCCGGGAATACCTCTACAATCATACCTTATCCCAATGAAACATTTCCTGTTAATATTGGAATCGGAGCACACGTCATGTTCACCTTTACGGTTAATGACTCGTCAGGGAATAATGCTACTTGTACATTTACTATAACTGTCCAAGGTATGTGATTACGCACATTTTACGATTTAGCGTACCGGTACATCTTCAAAACTAAATAGTGTTAAGTTCAAGATTGATT